AGAGACGTCTCCTTCTGCATAGCGCGTCGAAGGAACGCTACAACACAAACATGAAGTATTCTCACCAAAAATGCCAGGCTCTGATTCTTCACCTGACCGGACACTGAAGGGTGGTTCTTCAAAACATGCAGCTGGTCTATCACATGAAGCTGGTACCTCGCACCAAACATTAAGTCGTTTGCTTGCAACAGAACCCTTCTTTTTTGCCAATCTTGCAGTAACGTGTCTGCAAAAGCTGAAACCAGTGCAATCCTCAAACCTCACCTAGAAGTTCTTCTGGAAGCTGCGATTGCTGGGCAGGCTGAGGTGCATCTGCAACAACAAGAACAAGAGCTTCGGAATTTTCATGAGCTGTGGAAGTCTCTGAGTCTCTTAGATTTCTAGGTACATTGTAGGCAATCAAGGCTCTTCGTGGGCGAACTACAGATTGCCAAAATCCTGTGGATTGGGTAGCCTGCGTTTCAAACCCCCTGCATGTAGGCCCTAAAAACAAACCGCTGAGCAATCACTTTCGTTGCTTTCAACCCAGAGGATGCAACAGGTGACTTCCTGGGGTTTAAGTTCCTCAAAGTACGTTGGAGCATCCTCTTGCCCCAATCAGAGGCTGCCTTGGGTGCAGCGACCAAACACCCAGCTCAGGGAGGAGTTGAAGTCATTCTGGCCAGACAAGTGAATCAACGCGGGGAAGCAGAGGGACATACTCCGGAAACAGACACCAATGCACTGGAGGGGTGGTGTGAGTCACTGCGCCCACCATGAACTCCGGCACTCTGCCAATTGACTGGCATGCACGATAGCAATTGGATAGGTGCTGAATTCTTGTGAGAGCTTCCTTCCAAAACCAAACCCGTCAGGCTCGGAAGCAGCGGCACTTGCAAAAACCTGCCTCCACCCTTCAAATTGAAGCAACGCCTTGCCTGACAAATGAAACAACCTGGGAAGCAAAGGGAGCTATCCAAACACATACCAAAGTGGATCACCATAACCACCTGCAGCAACAAAGTCTTCCAGAGGAAACTACCATAGCAACATGGGGGGAGAGGTGCAGAGAAGCATGTGACTCACCAGTTCCTGTGGTGCTTGGACCCGCAGCCGCTGCACAAGGCCAAAACTGATTTGTCAGCGCGAATGCAACAGAGTCTTCGACAAGCACGCTGCAGAGGTTCAGACGACCAGCAGCAGTGACATGCTCAAGCGCGCTTTGGGGTACTCAGCAGCCAAGATAAGACAGAATTAAGGTGGCGCATGTCT